CTATTCTTTCAATACGATTTTAATTTGGTGAGAAATTTAAAATCAAGTTTTGTCATTATATTACTTGATTTGATCTAGAAATGCGTCTAGTTTATAAAACTACACCCAATTCACCAAGTATTGATAATGGTTTTACATATTTAGGCACCTGCATCGGTTCTGCTTCATGGCCAAAATACCACAATTTTAATTCATCATCGTATTAACGGTCACTTCTTCTTGGCTATCTTACAAGCTCTAGCTGCTTCTGCTTTCCTCTACCTAATATTTATCCAAATGCTTCCTGCGGCTACCCGTCAACCATACACTCATCATATTCCAGAATGCCATCAAAATCCAAGTATTTGCGCGAACGATCAACAAGAACTGGATGAAACACCACAGAATGATTTTGTCGCATCATGCCATATGCCTCTAGTGTCCATTCAGGATCCACCCGTCAATCTGATTGATTTGGATGTATACCACTCTCAGTTGGCGCATAGGGATAGTCAGAGTTCCTCTCGTGTGGACTCCCATAAACCACATCGACAGATAGATCAATTGGATCTAGGTAATTTTGCACCGGTTATGTCCACTCCCCCTTTTCTTCTTGCTCTATCCGCATTTTCTGGGTTTAGTCTGCTTACTTTGCTTACGTTGACTCATAAGCATTCACATTTCACCATTTCGCAGCTATGCCCCTCCAATACTTCTGGTTCTACTTAAAGTGGTTAACTTTTTACTAATATGGATATTTGACATGAACGGATATTTCCAGATTCATCATTCCGCCGATATATCATTACCGGCATGGAGACAAATTATCAGCAGGGAAGCTGTACATTTATTTTAGCAGCTATTCCTACTGAAAATTCCACAAGGCTTGGAGCTTATATTTATCTCATATTTTTCACTTATATCGCATTGCCTTTTGCGTCCTTCAGATATTTTCTTGTATTTAGCTGGAATAATCTTGGATTTATTATCCGCCTTACTTATTTTTCAATATATCTCATTTTTATTTCTCCATTTATGCAGACATTTTATCTGCTTTGCTCTTACTGTCGAGGAACCCGGTATGGAT